ATATATATATATATATATATATATATATATATATATATATATATGCATATGCATCTACTTATAACAAAATATATAGAATTATTCTTCAGGAATGTTATATAAATGGGAAGAATTTTTGACAATCGACAATTGTCAACTTTTCATTGACGTGAGCGAAACCGATTTCGATCAGAAATTTTAAGCACTACGGACATTACACTTTGTAATTCTGTTGAATTTTCTCCGTCGAATCTTATCCCCGCGGCTCATTCGGTAACCCAACGATCGATACTCACGTGACAACGCGATCGCGGCCAGCAACGTGACGACTCCCGGCGTGATCATATTTCCGGTTTGCTTGCTTCTCTGCCGGACCGTCACGGGATGATCCTGGGTCGCACTGAGAGAGGAAGTTTCACTGATAGGCGAGACGGTGGAATTGGGTTATCTAATTTTTGGTGCCTCTTTGGAATGGCGTCGCCCTCGCGGAACTGCAGCTCTTCGGCTACTCGCCGGCCGGGTATACCCCGCGGATCCCCACTATGCTACGCAAATCCCACTTTCGCCGTTACTTTTCATCGACGGCACCCGCTGAGAATGAAGATCGAGTAACTCAGAGAGAAAGAGAGAAAGAGAGAGAGAGAAAGAGAGAGAAGCCCACTTATTCCTCTCTCGTTCTCTTTCTATCTTGGCACTCTCACCGTGACGTCCTTCGTCGCGTTTTTCCTTGAGGAGAAAAGTGCAAATCGCGGCACGATGACGATGTCCGGAGATGACATCAAGACGACACAAAAGAGGCAATGTTCCAATTAAACCGTCGTCATTCCGCTCGTCTCTCGAGTTTATCCCCCGGGAAACGGATGCAAGAAAGTAGGAATGAAAATTCATGGTACTTTGGCCAAAAACAACTCCTTGAGCGAATAGAAGCTTCGCAGTTCCGGGTGTCATGCATTCATATATTTGTTGAAATGAAAGATAATTAATCAAGATCATTATTCACGCGCAGCTAGGGAAATATTTATCACCTTTTCAAAAATACTCGCGGAATCAGCTGTATCTAGAAGAATCGAGAGTCTAGAAGAGTCGAGACGCGAAGAACTTACTTTAAAGAAAGTGTCACAGCCAACAATCATAGCAATTGTTCTGCTCCGTGTTCCCGTGTAACTACCGACTTCAAACTTCGAACAAGGAGCACTATATTACGCATCGCTAGCTGCGGTTTACCAGGAAACAGCAGCCTTTTCGTTAAGCTTTCTTCATTTGGTTACCGTTTAACATTCACCTTTACTCTCGCTTCGATCATTTTGAGAAGTAGATTCGTGCGACCTTATCATAAAAAAAAAGATATAATCAGTCATCAGACTCTCTGCTATAAAATGAAATATAAATAATGAGTCTAATTAAGAGCCAAACGCAATCCCGCAAGAAGTATTTTACAAGATGTGATAGTTGCAAGTGTGTTAGAAGAAATTTCTTAATCAGTAACTTGCGTAATTTCTCTGTAGTCTTCTTTACATACTCGCTTTCTCGTCATTATAAAAAATTACGCTGCAATAGAATAGAAGATAAAAGCGGAATTGTTCTCCCGCGTATACATTTAAACTACAGCTTAATTATTCAGCGAGTTGATACTGATCACAGTAATTGAATATATTAACCGCGTCAGAGATGAGGGTTAACGATCTCTCCGAATGCGATACATATCGCGGCTGCGATGTGGTTTGCCGTCAAGTCAGTAGGAAGTTTTTCCTCACGATGCACAGCGATGCTCCTTCAGCACGTTTCTGGAAATGTCTGTCGACATTTTTCCGTCTGGGAAAGTGAGGTTTTTAACGACTCCATGTGTATACGATCGAGTCATTGTCGCGAAAATATTATTCAAAGTCAATCCAAATTTAGCTCAGTGCCGTAATTGTTCCTCGAAATATCACTAAATAAAAAATTACATATTTTCACCCATCGAAATTTTTAGTGTACCATTTATATTTATTACTATTATATCTACGAAGCTTTAATCTTTCAGAGTTCCGACAATGCTTTCTTCGTGCTACTTACGTAAAATTATATTCACCTCACCAAAGCTTATTCACCTTAGCATATCTCGGTGCTTACGAAAGCATTACGTTAGAGACTACTGGATTTCGGAAACGTTTAATGCATGAAATGCATGGAACGTCGACCGATATCACACTTTCACTGCTCACAAGAATTTTAAACGCGATCTGCATTTACTGCGGAAACGTTCCGCGTATTTCTTATGTCACCGTGATCCACGTAAATAAGGCCATTGATACGATCGATCTCTCGATTCTACAAACGGTAAAGGATAATAAAGGGAAATACTTTAAATTTGGTAAAACGAGAGATTAGAAAGATTTATAAATATGCGAATTATATGTATGAAAGTACAAATGTATTGCTCGTAGAAAGTCCTTTTAAGCCAGAATTGCGACGAATTTTCGAGTAATTTTTTCCGGGATATGAAATTTCTTTCCCAAATTATCCAAGGCATCCAAGGCACATTATCTCTTGCTTTGTTTAGATAAATCGGAGCGGAAATTATATTCTTATTTTTTTCTCAATCGATTATTATCAAAGATAGGATTTTACATGCAAATACAATTTGAAGGGCCTATTTGTAGTAAAGGTAAATTTATTGTACAATGAGGCGATTTAAAAATAGGGAGAGAGAGAGAGAGAGAGAGAGAGAGAGTGTGCGTTAAAGACCTACAAAACTAATTTAATCTAATCTATGACTCGACCCTATGGTCGGTCTACTGCCTTTTCTTCTACTGGGTCCACCTGTAGGTTTGGGCTTCGGTGGTGGGTTCTCCAAAGCGTCGAGTTCTTTGTCAGTTAGTTGATCCTTGTACCAGTCTTTGCTGTAAGTAAATCATTTGCTACATTAGATATCAACATTGAAAATTATACGGAAAACAATCTTATTCGAGACTTTCTTAATTATCTTTATATCTTTGTCATTTTAGGAAAGATTGGTTTTCAAAGCAATGGTGACGTGAAGTGACAATTCGTAAATCTCTTCAGTATTCATTTAAAATGGTTCTCCAAAATGGGAAACACTATAGAATTTCATAAAATCATTCAGTCTTGTTAGTTGCAGAAGGAAACAGTTCATTCCGTCAATTAAGTTCAAACGTTGATCCTTCGCATGTTCGTGTCGATCGGCTAGGTATCAATTCTCATTTTTTAACAACTATATGAACATAATCTTAACACAATTTTTTTTAATTATTTGAATCGTTTTTTATGAAAAATAAAGATTTGATAAGTCATGAATATTTAAAAAATGATATTTCCTCTCGTTGTTCGTATAAGTAGAGCGAAATGTTGTCTGACAGCGCGACTATTTCCGTACCATTCGGGTATCTTCCTGGCCCAGTCGCACTTGCCGGTGCGTTCGTCGAAAGCTTGGCCGAGCTTGCATCCGCTTCGCCTGGGTATCTCGCCATTGACGCACACGTAGAAGTATTGACAGTCTTCGCTGTCAGGATAGCGCGGGTGCGTGGCTGCCACGGAATCGTCGACCTTAGGGCACGTGAAGTTGAAGAGCTCGCGGGAACCGCAACCCTTCTTTTGTGCCTCGTCCGGCCAGTTGCATATACCGGTCTTTTCGGAGAATACCAACCCGTCCGGGCAGGTAATCATGTTGTACTTGCCCTCCACGCAATAATAAAAGGTGTTGCAGTTTCTCGTGTCCTCATGGGCGAAATAGCCATGCATGCGGGGACAATGCGGCGACGGTTGAGGTTTCTCTGTGTGGAGAACCGATTTGTGAGTGATAATTGAGTACCATATATATATATATATATATATGTATAAAAAATTGTTATATAAAATACTATATAAAATATGGTATATATATATATATATATATATATATATATATATATATATATATATATAAAACAATACAATTTTTTATATTTTCTTATTTTCGATATAGTGATATAAAATACATTCAAATAGAAACTATTTCTATTCGATCTCTCTTTCTCTCTCTCACACACATATACACACACTCACATTGATACACTCACTCACTCACTCACTCACTCACTCACTCACTCACTCACTCACTCACTCACTCACTCACTCACTCACTCACTCACTCACTCACTCATTCATTCATTCATTCATCCATTCATTAATTCATTTATTCACTCACTAACTCACTTTCTCTCTCTTCCTCACTCAATGCAAACTGATTCCAGGAAAGGACATAAAATTGCATGCTTACGTAGTTTGGGCCTCTTGCTACAATCGATTCCAAACGGCAGATCGCACTTTTCGTGTTGGGGGCTGAAATCGTTGAAAACGAGACCGTCCGGGCACAGTTTTTCGGTGATCTTGCTATCACGGCAGTCGTAATATTTGTCGCATTGCTCCGCGTCCGGGAAGTAGCCGTTAGGTTCCGGACATTGATCCAGTAGCTCGTCGTCGTCTTCGTACTCTTCCTCTGCTGTTTGTTTCGGTGTTGTTGCCGAAGCGGCCTTACGACGACTTTGTTCGGCAGCCTCTTGTTTTCTTGTCAGGGCGGCGACGATGCCTATGACAAAAAGTTGACTTTGTTAATTGAGAGCGATTACACTGTAGAAAATGCAATGAGACGCGGTCAGACAAATAACGAAATAGCACGAGACGTACAGTAAAATAAGTATTGGAAATTTTTCATTTTTTAGAAATGTGTGCAAGAATTTTCATAATTATTATCTGATTAATTTTGTCGTTTCAGTCGACAAATGATTGAACACATCGAGATTAATAAAACTTATGCAGAATTTCAATTCTCTTCTCGTTCCTTTTAAAGATTTCACGAAACCAGATCTCAGAACTTCACACCTGGATCGCCTTCGGAATCAACGACCGTTTCGTATCGCGGGCTATTGAGAGAGAAGGCGGGAAACAAAGAGAAATTAAAAATAAAAGGAGAGAAGAAAAAACGAGAGAATGGTGAATGTTAAGGCGGAGGGTCGACTGGTCTCGCGCGGCGTGCGGAGTTTTCAAGGCAGCACGTCGTCTGCGTCCCTGAAGAAACGCCGGTCGACCTCGCGAGCGAGCGAAGAAAGCGAGAAAGTGGCTGGGCCCCCCATATGTATACCCGGTCGGCCAGAACTTAAATGTCGTTTAATCGGTTCGGCCTGGTAGCTTTCGAGTACACCGCAGATATTCACCGCAGTAGATTCAGACTCGGCCGATGTTCTTAAGCCAAGTAGTAACAGGCAATTTTGCACAGACGCGTCTGTCTTCGAGAACCTCATTCCCTTAATGATACATCTTTCTATTTCTTCAGACGCACAAGCGTTATAAAATATTAAAAAAAATAATTTTGTTCTGGCAATAGCTCTCAAATAATTTAAATAGAAATTAGCACTTTTCAAGTCTTTTTTAACATATTTTGATATTTATCGATATTTATTAAAATTATCGAATTTCTGAAGGTTTTATATTGCTCGCATTTCAATATATTTCATAAATGGACATGGAACATAATCAGATGTTGACTATTTGTACATATAGAAGATTGTACTTTGCTCGTTTCATTTAAAAATTTCGCACAGGTGCAAACAGACGAAGCTACTCTAGTAGCACAGTTCATTAGGACAATATTAGCTATAAATGCGGCTTCAACATGCTCAATATTAGTCCAATATTGCAAAGTTGATACTTTGCATTTTATAATCAATATAGAATCCCGAATATTAGCAATTTATTTGTTACCAATATCAGCTACATATTGGCGCAATGGACCGTCAATGTTAGCCAATATCGGTACAATTATGTTGTGCAATATATATCTATATTGGCAATTTATTTAAATTTTATTTATAACTAATATTGACTCTGTATATACTAGTTATATTGGTCCAATGTATGCCTAATGTTACCAATATTTAGCCAATATAACGTTAATGAATCGTGCTACTAGAGTGGTAGTTTCTTGTGCAGAATGACCCACATATGGCAAAGAACATTACTCTCTCAGCATCGAGACATTTCTTATTCAATGAGTTAAGATTTCTATGTAATCGGTTTGTTTGCATTGCGCAGTTATCTCGCGTTTCTATCATAACATTTGGATGCGACGTACCAGCGATCAAGAACATGGCGTAAAATCGCCTGAAAGTGCTATTCGCGTATCTCGCATAGTCACGACTATGACTACGTTGAGCATGGATAAATTAATGACGAGAGCTCACCGAGACAAATTAGGAGACAGAACACCTCCGTCTTCATCCTGGCGAAGAACGGACGGTCCTAATCGAAAGAGAGAGGGAGAAAAAGACCCAGTGACGTCACTTCGTGATGATCCCCAGTCGTGGTAACGTGGTGGAATTGATGACTAGAGACTACTGGGCCCCGTCGAACGATCGCCGGGGTCTTATATGCGGCCCCCACTTTATCGGCCGCACGAGATTACAACACTCGGTGACCACGTAGGGTCTAAGGGGAACCGTTGATCTTCTACGCACGCAAACGTACAATAGCTCTTACCGGTATGTTGACTTCCCGATGCACCGTGTGCAGTAGTTTTCACCTAGTCTGAAATCGAATTGAACGGAACTCTCTGTGCGTTAGGTGCAAAATATATAAAATGTATTTGCGCGTGTGTGTATACATATCGCATATCAATACATTTTATGTATTATTTTTGTTAGCTTGCAAGGAGTAGAAATTATCCAAAGTTGAAATCAAGAACTCGAGGAATTTTCTATATTAAATCGCGCTTAACAATCCGGGCTTGAAATGAAACATTTGCGAGATGCAAAGCTATTGGAGAATGCGACATGAGAGCGACGTGGTTCGCAACCGCGGAAAACAACATTTCCTGGCAACCTTCTGGCATCGATTTACCTGAAGGTTATTTTTAGGACACTAAAGTCCATCGCGCGTCGAAGAAACGACGCGAAATTCCAGTTTTGTCCGTCGGTGCATCCAGTTTTTCGTTTTTTACGTATCGTCGTATTCCCATATAGTCGCATGGGGATTTTGAATGTGAATGATAATGATGATGGCGGTAATTCACCTATGGAAAGGTGAAGAACTGTTCTCAGCGTGATATCGAGTAGTCACGACTGTGGAAAACGGAGAGCCGCGAAAGGTCGTTTCTTTGCGAAACTATTTTCGCCGAGAGTAGTGCGCAATTGCCTGACGTATCTTTCATCCTTCGAGAAAGCACAAGTCGATCTTGCTCTACTTCGCATCTTCGTTTATCAGAGGAAACTCTTCTCGCGACATTTTCCCCTCAACAATATCTCAATGATAATTAATAATAATAATTAATAATCATGGAATAAAAGAATAAAAATATTTAAAGAATTAAAAATATTTAAAAAATAACTAAATAAAAATAATTAAAAACAATTAAATAGAGTAATTCTCTCATGATAATGATTTCACATTGTTTTCCTCTGAGCTTCTCACCCTTTCATTTAATATATCTGTTTTGTGTATTACTTTTATTCTCACTTAATACGAAGTCTCTCTGTCCCACCAGCCACCTGAATTTCGCCTGATCCACCATTTCCTGAACTCTTCGTAGATCAGAATAAGAATAGCGTACGGCACTCCGGGCAGCCACCATTCCGGTTTCAGAGGATACATCTTGAGGACGCGATCCATGTAAGGAGCATAAGATACTAGGCAAGCTAGACCGATCTCAAGCAGCAGACCCAGGTTTAAGATCCAATTGCCCATGCCTTGGCGCAGCAGCGAATTTCGGCGGGTCTTGCAGATCATCGCGTTTGCTAACTGGGCAATGACGATGCTGATGAAGAAGGCGGTGTGGCAGGTGTACTCGAGGATCTTGCGCTGCTCATACGTCCACTCCTGACCGAAACTATCCTCCAGATCATTTATCGTCGCACTGTCCCACTCCGACCGCAGACTTAGCAATCGTCTCGGCAGGAAGCCGTGTTCCGCCATCACTACGAAGTACGCGAAAAAACCAGCGCAGGCCTCGATTACACCGATCTGTCCATACGCCATGAAAATCAATCGTCGGCTGACCAGGTGGTCGCTTTGAGGTATCCTGGGCTTCCTGTGGAAAATCGACACAGACTGGGTAACTTAACTTCGTACTTTTTTTCGAATTCTATTCGTATATATTTATCTCTCACATCATTGAATGTTACTTTACTTTAATCAAGAGAAGATTTAAGGACTAATAAGAACCATATGTGTAGCAGCGTAATCAGATAAGTAAAAAACTTGAAACTGTGATTTACATAGCTAATAAGTATAAGAATATATTAGTCAAAATATCCAGTTTAAATAATTGCATAATTTTAATATTCTGACTAATAAATTATCATATTTATTGACTATGTAAGTCACAGTTCTAAATTTGTTACTTGTTTGATTACGCTATTACAGATGTGTATAAGTTCATATTGGTCCTAAAATCTTCTCTTGATTGTATATCATTAGAGTTTTTTATTTTAATTTTCATTTAATTTTAATTTTAATTCTGTTCCTTTTTTTAGTAATTGGTTGTACTTGAGGAAGTGGGGGAAAGTCTCTGAGAGAGATATCCAAAAAATAAAAAAAAATTTATTCGGTGGATAATAATATATATTTACTTTAATTTAAATTTTCTATTTAAATGAAATAAATAATTGATATAAAAAGTAATATATAAAGGTTTTAAAGAAAAGTAAATTTTCTTATTTGAAAAATATTTCATATATATATATTTTCTTTTATTTATTCAAATTATTACACATATATATTTACTCAAGTTTAAATTTTTCTATTTAATTGGAATAAATAATTAATTCCATGAAAAGCTAAAGTTTTAAGAAAAAGAAATTTTTTATTTGAAAACATATTTCATATATATATAAATGGATATATTATAGTATACCCACTGAGTAAAAACCTTCCATTTCGTCGATTTCTATTTTTTCCATTTCTTCCGTTTTCTCTCTCAATAAGGATACGATGATATATATAGGGATTATATGACATCTGGCGTATTCGTTACCTTAACATAACGTCCGACTCGGGCTTCTCGTAAGCTAACGAGACAGCTGGCCACATGTCTGTTCCTAGATCGATGCAAAGAACGCAAATCACGCCGACCGGGAGCGGGATTCCCAGCGCGACGAATGCCAAGAAAGGCGTGATCTCCGGCACGTTGCTGGTCAAGATGTACGCGATGCTCGACTTGAGATTGTCGAAGATCCGCCGGCCCTCTTCGATGCCCGTCACTATCGACGCGAAATTGTCGTCGAGTAGTATTATGTCTGCCACTTGCTTGCTCACGTCTGACCCTAACGATCGCAAATAACCGGATGATAATGAAACGACCGTTGTTTGTTCAAAGAACTCACAGCCTCGCGGTTCTCTTCGCAAGACATTTCGTTCATATCACCGTCCGACCTGTGACGCCCATAGCGATGCCAATGTCAGCTTTCTTCAGGGCCGGCGAGTCGTTTACGCCGTCGCCGGTGACTGCAGTGATGAGGTGCAGCCGTTGACAGCTCTCGACGATCTGCAGCTTCTGCACCGGCGACGTCCTGGCGAACACTATCTCCTGATATTGCCTGATCAGCCTGTCCAACTGCTCAGGTGACAGATCCCGCAGCTGACCGCCAGTTACCACAATGTGGTGTCTCCTGACGTCATCAGGACCATTGTGATCATCGTCGGTGATGATGCCAACGTATTTGGCGATCGCTCTGGCGGTGTCTGGGTGATCGCCGGTCACCATAACGACCTTGATGCCGGCGCAGCGACATTTATACACCGCGTCCGGCACCGTCGGTCGCGGCGGGTCCATCATAGCGATCAGACCGATCTGTCGGTGAGGAAAGTTGAGCTAATTAAGAAGTTATTGATAGTTATTGAGAAAGATTCGAATCGACAATACTGGCGTACCAGTCTCAAATCTTGGAGAGGGAAATTTGGAGGGTCTGTCTCGAAGCGGTAGCCTACGGGGTAAACCGAGGTCGAGAGTTCCAAGTCGGCGAAGCCGAGGACGCGTTCTCCGTTGTTCGCCAGGATATGACAAGACTCAGTGTATGCTGTCTTGATTTCTTCCTTCAGTCTCTCGGTACGGTTGCCGAAAGCTACGGTCGAGCAACGCTCGAGGACTCTCTCGGGAGCACCCTTGAAGCACACGAGGTGCCTGTCTTGAAACAGGTGCACGTTCGCTTGGAATTTGTCTGTCGAGTTGAAAGGAATCTCGAGCACCTACAGATCCATTTTAGATTGAGATTTACAAAATAAGATCTGTGAAATTGATCCGCCAGAAAGATGAGCCACGATTGGTCGATGCTGAATTTGCATTCCCTGACAATCGGAGGACTCGACTCAGCTCAGTTACCTTGACGTAATCTTTTCTGAAGAAATCGGCTCCTCCCTTCATGAGGATCTCCATGCATCTCAGTAGGGCAGTATCCGACGCGTCTCCCAATATCTCCCTTTTGTTTAACGGTAGCGCGGGTTTGCCTTCTGGTACCGGTACCCATTTGGCACGATTGCAGAGACTCGCTACTCTGGCCAGGTTCTCGAAGCCCCGACTGTTGACGTACTTCCTCCACGTGTCCGAGGCCATTATTTCGCGCAGCTGGCCGTCGTACCACATGTGTCGCACCTGCAATTCGCGCGATTGACGAGAGAAACTCGATCGAACGTCCGTAGCGAGGACCGAGAAGCAAACGTTACTGAAGCTAGAGATGTCATGAGAGAAATGCCATTGCATGAAAGATAGCACGGTACTATCGATCTTCACTCGTTGCATAGATAATGACGAATAAAGGTAAAAGTACTAATCTGGACCAAAGTCTGGACATTAATAACATTGGTATTTAACTTTGGACATTCTAATTGTTTTTATCTTTTTAAATATGAATATTTGAATTTTCAATATAGAGTATATATGTGTGTGTGTGTGTGTGTGTGTGTGTGTGATATTTCATATTTCAGAAACTTTCAACATAGAATATATGTATATATATTCAAAATTGTATGTGTATACACATACATACACATACATAATATGTTATATATATATATATATATATATATATATATATATATATATATATATATATATTATGTTGAAAGTTTCTGAAATAAGAAAACTTAAATATGTGTATTAAAAAAAAAGCAGAACAATAAAAATGCCCAGAGTTAGGTATTAATGTTATTAGTGTCCAGGTATTAATATTTATTTAACCAAATTATCCTAAAATTTTCGAAAATCTATCGTGGCTAAAGTGCAAGAGGAGAAGTACTAGCTGCAAGATGCAAGACCAGTCATACGGTCATTTTATTCTGCGTGAGAGTGCCGGTTTTATCGCTGCAGATAACAGCGGTACATCCGAGTGTCTCGATAGCCTCGAGATTCTTCACCAGACAGTTCTTGCTGGCCATCCTCTTGGCGGTCAGGGTCAGGCTGACCGTCACCGTGGCGACGATGCCTTCCGGCACATTCGCTACGATAATACCGATAAGCAACACGACTGAGTCGATCCAGTTGTAATCCATCGCGATGGACATTACGAAGAAGAGAACGCCTAAGAAAATCGCCCAGCACGAGATCAGCTTCATGAAATGATGGATCTCACGCGAAAGTGGCGTAGGTCGTGGCGAGAGTTTCGAAGTCAGCCTGACCACTCTGCCCATCACTGTATCGTCGCCGCGAGCCACCACGACGCCCTTCCCAGTGCCTGTTTTACGAAAATCCTGTGTGATTCGGTGAAGAATTTAATTTGCGATTTTATACTACTAAATTTTATTTTACTATTATTATTTTAGTATTATTATTATTATTATTTTGATTTTATACTACTAAAAAAGATATTTAAAAATTGTGATATATAAAGTTTATTCACAGAAATAAACTTTATAGTTCACAAATGAATTTTAAACAAGTATCTCTTTCCTTATTGCAAATATGCGCGCGTGCTTCACATGCAAAACATTCAAAGAGATTTTATCTTACTGAATTATGCACGGAGAAAAAGGTTTAGTCGTGTGCAAATATAAAGTTTGCAATGAATGAACCAACGCGTTTTGATTGAACTGGATTTCTGGTTTTTGAAACCACAAACTTAGGTCATAAGAATCACAAAAATGCTATGCCTTTCGACCAAAACGCACGTTAGTTCGTTCATTAAAACCACAAACTTCACGTTAATACAACTTAATTCTTTTTCTCAGTGTGTGTTTTAATATGAAATTTTTGTTTTTTTAAAATGGAATATTTTCAGTGCACCTTCGACGATGTTTGTAGAGAAGAATATCATATTCTTTGCTTCGATAACACTCCCTGCTTGCGGAATACTAGCCATTCGTATCAACGGTATCGATTCGCCCGTGAGTGACGCATTGTCTACTTTCAAGCCTTTAATTAAGGAGATATAAAACTGTGTCACTCAGAAAATGTCGTCGTGTGCTTTTAAGCAATTAAGATACACGAGATATCCTTTTAGCATTTATATTATCATCCTCAAGTGCTTCTTTAAATAAAAAAAAATTTTTCTATAAATGATACATCGAATATCCATTTTCTCTTTTCTGACTTCTATCTTTTCTTTCAGGATGATTTTTTCGTGAACTTTCTTCTGTTAGAAGATCGAACGAGGCGAAAAATCGACGCGGTTCTTTGGAGAGAAAGGCTCGTATTCTCGGAGGAAAACAAGAAGCTAGCGCGCGACGAGATGGTATCATGGCACGCCTCACCTTGACATTCCAGGACTCTAATGTCAGCAGACACTTGGTCGCCAGTTTCCAGCAGGACGATATCCCCTACGACCAGTTCGGTCGCCAGCACCTCCTTTCTCTCGCCGTCCCTCAGGACCTTGGCTTTCTGTGGTAACATCCACTGGAAGGATTCCATGATGCGCGAACTCTTGGAGTCCTGGTAGTAGCTGAACATACCTGTGACCATGATCAAGACAATCAGAACTAGCCCGAGCCAGAGATGGTCCTCGGACGCCTCGCCGTAGATTTCTTGTTCCAGGAAGTAATTGCCAAAGCACAAAGCAGCGCCTACCTAAAGATCACAGTATGTTCATTATTATTCTTTTTACTTTTTCTGAATTATAAAATATATATTAAAAACTGTACTTTACAAGATTCTTTGATTTTGTTTTAAAATATATTTTGTTGTAAAATATATTTTTTCTCTTTCGCGTTCGAAACTTGCAAGGACTCGATCTTTCGCGAATTGCTACCCATATCAGTAAAGAGGTTCCATTGCAACAATGATGCAGGATTTTCAGAATCTCCAAGGTTTTCCTCGGCGGAGTTAATGCGTTCGGTCCTTGTTCTCGTAGCCGATCTCTTGCGACTATTGTCGGCAAACCTTGCTCGGGATCTACCTGTAGATCTTGCAGTAGATCCTTCGCGGGTTTAATGTGCACGTCCGTGTCGATATCTCGACGAAGGACGTCCAGATCGCGGTTGGGTTCCTGCGGTCTTCGGAAGAATCGCCGCATTTCTCAACCGACAAGTGGAGTCCCGCGATATAAGCGCAAAAAGTATACTTAAAAATCAATATACGAAAAAATTAGCTTGTCAAAATTAAAATATGCATCTTAAAAAATAACGTCACAAAGCTGCGTTACAGGCGCATGAAGTTAAATCTGCTTTTCGCTGTTATTTTCGCTATTATTTTATCGATTACAATGTACTGAAGTAGGGAAAGGGAAAAAAATATTTTGCATACTTCCCTCTTTTTTTATTAAAAATTTTTACATCAAAATCGCTGAGATATATATATCACAGAGATCCGAGAACCTTTGGATATTAAATTCTTTCTTCATAGGAATAAAGGAGGGCAGAGCAAACGCGCGCCATCTCTTTTTTTTACGAGCGTCCTCACGTGTCGTTCGACAGCAACGGCGTTGCCTGCTTTACCGGTAGCGCAGCGCAGGTGCGCAATCTACGCTTGGGCCAACCAAACTGGCCACCAGCCTGATTTAGTGGCCAGAGCTAGGCGCATTTTCCAGACGCCATCTAACAAAGTGCGCCTTTACTACGTCCGTTAGGCGCATTTTCGCGGTGGTAACGATAAAATGCAGGGTTGTGCGCTACGCGTAAACTACGATAGTTTACGTCTACGTGTAGACAAAGTAAACTATGTATAATATGCCATCTGTGTAGACAATGAGTAATCTATTGGCTGCTGCCCACAGGACGCGGTAATGCTTGCCGCGGGACGGAAGTCGTGTGGCAACCAATCAATATGCTGCTTTCCTTCTACGTTCTTACGGAAAAACGACATATTGATTGACTATTGCGCAAACTTCCGCCATACAGCAAACAATTTCGTGTCCTATAGGCAGGAGCTACATGACTCCTGATGCAATTTATTATCTTTTATAAACATTATATTTATGATTAATACACATTAACTCACATCAAGGAGGGTCTAAAACCTTGCTTTAAAAGCAAATTGACCAACCACAGTCGATTATTTCAAGAATAATCGACTGTGGTTGGTCAATTTGTTTATGGCTTACAGTTTAAAGCAAGGTTGTAAACTCTCCTTTAAATATATGTGAGTGTGGTAACTGTTTTATAATTTAATTCTTTTATATTGTACTAATTAACAATAAAATTTACTATAGTTAAGTCGTTTATATTGTCTACATTGTCTACATGTAAATAATTGTCTACATGGGAAAAAGACCGTATAAACATTAAGTAGACTACGTGTAAACAATCCATGTAGACGTAATCTTGAAATCTACGGCACAATCCTGATAAAATGCGCCTGGGTCATACCCGTTGTACTTCAATGATAGTAAGATAGTAATGATAGAAAAAGACAGACATCCAATCGCTCTGGGCAGCGATTATGTAATGGATCCTGCACACAGGACACGGTAATGCTTACCGCGCGACTGCTCTAAACCACTGAGCTACCTGACGCTCCACGCTCACGACACTCCTCTTTCTAGATAACGCTCAGAGATGCCGTTCGGAAGCGACATCTCTGGCGCGATCCCGAGCGCACGGCGACTACAGAGAGAAACAATGTTACTGTACCGAATGGTACAGCTGTCTCTCAAAGTCAAAGGTCAAAGTCAAACTTGTCGGAATCGATTCCGATCGGAATAATTCCGTTTCCCCTAGAAAAGACAATAGAAATCTAGAAAATAACTGAATGTTTTCGATCGGAATTAATTCCAAAAAGTTTCATTAAGGTCGTTCTACATTAGTTGCAAGCCGATCGCAAGCAGATGCAATTCTTATTGCGACAGTCAATCAGAAGCATCAATGGTGCTATTGACGCTTCTGATTGGCTGTCACAACAAGAGTTGCAAACAACTTGCAACTAATGTAGAACGACCTTAATACGTGCTGATGAGCAGCGACGTATTAAGGTACGTTGAGTGGTGTTGGAGGTACACCTTTTGGTTGCCTGAAGCCATATTGAGAGAGAGAGAGAGAGAGAGAGAGAGAGAGAGAGAGAGAGACGTATTAAGGTCGGAGGAGGAGCGAGCTAGCGGCGATCTATGGTCATGACACTTTCGAGTCACGGCCTGAGCAGTGCTGTGAGTTGGGTAACTTTTGGTGCGTTCGCTTTGGGCGCTTTGCATTGTAAGTGTCATTCTATCTTTTTCCCGCAGGTAATGAGCGATAAAGATCGAATGACACTTAAAAGCGTAAGCGTCCAAAGCGAACGTACCAAAAATTACCCGAACTCGCAGCATTGGGCCTGAGCAGCTGCGCGCGGTCATCCTGTTCCAGCGTGCGCCATTATAGCGCCGTATAGCGTGCATACGGTGAGCGGCGTGAGGAAGAGGTTGCGTACCGCGATGCTTACAAACGCTCGACGTCGTCGAGCGGGTGAGCGAGCAAAATATCGAAGCAAATCGGTCCGCAAACGTGCGTGACTGGCAGAGTTGATCGTGTTGGAGTTTTCCCAGGGTTCAACTCGAACGCACGTTCGTGAACGAGAATAAAAGGGAAAATGAATGACGTGAAGAGGAGAGGAGAGAAGTGAAGTGGAAAGGATTAAAAAGCGAAGTCACAGAATGACACACACGTATAAAACGCCAATAGATATGGAGAGTAGGCCGGCACCGCTGCACTCGCAGCGGGTATGCCGATTTTGCCTGACAGAGTCGGAACCTTTGAAGTACATTTACGAGCCGGACCACAACAACCCGTCCCAAGTGCCACTGACGGTACAAATCAATTCATGCGTCGGCATCGAGGTAAGTGAGCAGAAGTTCCCGTCACTTGGCGACATGGCACCATTGCTCCGTATAACCCGCTTAAACAATGGCTATGTTCTGATAATTCACTGCCAGTACTAAAAAGATATAGTTTATGTTACGTATATGGTAGATTGTCAGTACTGGCAGTAAATTTCGGAACGCAGCTAAGATCAACTGGCGGGCATCGAAACATTACCTCGCGCCGTTCTATTTCCTTCGTAAAGGCACATCGGGTTTTGATTAGAAGTAACTGTCTAAGTGAGTGGTAAGGCAATATGTTTCATCGCAACTTGTTTGTTATTCTCAAGGTGTCCGAAGCTGACGGAATGCCACAAATGATTTGTCTCATGTGCCACTGGAATCTGGACCGCTTTCACAAGTTCAGGCTGCAATGCAAGAGAGCTGACGAGGCATTAAGATATTACCCGTTGTCTGGGGTGCTACCTAGACCCTTTCCACCTATTTCCATCAATCCACCAGAGTTAAGCAGCAAGAAACCTGCTGAGACTGGACAACAACACAAAAGCACCAAAAAGCTGCGCACGGACAACACTGAAAGGGATAGATGCGTGACCAGAGAGAGGAAGCGCGAGCGGGAAAAAGAAAGGGAAAGAGACAGAGACCGAGTAAACGAGAATCAGCTGGATAAGTCTTCAAACAATTTCTATGAGCAATTTCATGATTTCTACGAGGAGGAGCAGGACGGCGTTAGCGAAGGTGAGGAGACTAAGAACATCGAACGTGTGAAAGAAGACAGCATGAAGTTGGAGCCAGGCGAGATCAGGGTGCACGCGTGCGACCAATGCGAACGAACGTTTCCGTTGCGCCAAGCTCTGTCGTTGCATGTTCAGACTGCACATCGTGAACGTAATCACAAGTGCACAGAATGCGAGCGTATGTTCTTTTCCAAGTACGATCTCAGCAAGCACATGAACACTCATTCGAAGGAGAAGCCGTTCGCGTGCCAGATCTGCCAGAAACAATTCTCTCGGCAGAACCTACTACTACGTCACGAGAAGGTTCATCGGGACGAAATGCGTTACGGATGTCCACACTGCGAACGCGAATTTTTCACTACGGAGGACTTGGAGAAGCACGAGGACGCGGCGCACAGAAAGGACAAGCCGTTTCAGTGCAATATTTGCAATAAACGTTTCCAGTACAAACAGGGCTTAGAGCGCCATGAGACGCTGCACAGCGAGGACAAGACATTTGTTTGCGAATACTGCAAGGAGGCATTTCACACCAGCACCAAATTGGCTCGTCATCTCTCCACTCACGCTGGCCACCGACCCTACATGTGCAAGCTCTGTCCAAGAACGTTCCTCTTGTCGCATCATCTCACGCGACACATGCGCACGCACTCTGTAGAAAAGTGCCATGTATACGAGGATTGCGGCAAAGCGTTCAAACGTAAAGAAAGTCTTGAAGTACATCAGCTGACTCACACTAAGCGTACTAGAATGGGTCTCATGTGTGACGTTTGCCAAGAATCTTGTCACAGTCGTGCTGATTACGTTACCCATATCAAGCAGCATATTGAAGCAGGCGAAAAGATGGGTCTAGACGGTTTGAAGGCGGACAACAAGTCCAAACTGGAGATGGACTGGGAAGAAGAAGAAGAAGAGGAAGATCAGTACTCGAACGGCGACGACGACTATAAGCCACCCGCTTATATCATCAAAAAATTGCCGAAGTCAACACCACGAAGAGACGACAGTAATGAAAAGGGGGACGAGGAAAAGGGGCAACAATGTAAAGAGCAGGTAGTATTTGTGCGCAAAAGGGACGGGAACATGATGAAGAAGACGATCAAGACGCTGATGCCAATCCAACAGCGCGAAATGCAGGAACAAAAGTCAGCCGCCAAGCAAAGTGGTTCGTCCACCTTTCAGAACGACACGAAAAACTTGTCAGCACAGAGCAAAGAAGAGAATTCCACGAGCGCACACCAGAACGATACCGAGGCGCCAATGCAGAAGATCGTCGCGTCGGTTGAGGAACACAAGATTCCGCTGAAGTACGAAAACGTCGCAGTGCAGGAACAGTCCAATGAGGAGTCATCGGCTACTATGACGAGCTCGGCCATCATTGCATCGCACGAAGCTTGCAAGGCAGATGTCAAGACTGAGATGAGCACAACAGAAATAGTAGCGACGGGAACAGGCGTGATGACGTTCATATCGATATAATAAGAGTGAGACAAGTATATTTTATCTCGCTCTAACTTATTGTTTTATAAATGACGTCAACAATAAGAAATTATTCCTTTCAGCGGATTCCCTCTCAGTTAGAGGATATGAATCAAGATTATGTAGTTCGACCTCCTTCTCTCTTTTTTTTCATGGTTTGGATATTAAATTCCTTTGTCAAAGGAATAAAGGAGGGCAGAGCAAGCACGCGCCATTTCTTTTTTCACGAGTGTGTTACAGTATATGTACAACCAGTAACGTCACTTGGTGGAAATAGCGTCGAAGAAATGCTACAGCGCATGCGTTGCATTACTACCAGCAACACAGCGTAAAAAAAAGCAATATAAATTATCCAGGTAGTACAATTAGTTATATACACATTCTTTAAACATATACGATTATGAAATATGTATACGTTTAAAGAACGTATATGAAACTAACATATATTATCTGAATAATAGCTGTCTATAATAAATTGTAAATTGTATCCTGCGAATGTTAAGAATTTAACATATTTTTTTATTATCAATTTGTATATATATTTATTGTAAACTTTGAAACATTTTATTTATATTTTTGAAGAGGTAACAAAAAATATTTAAATTATTAGTTACGAATTTAGACTTTATTTTCTTGCATTTTATGCACATACACACACACATACAGGATGTCCCGCGTAAGCGTGTCAAAAAGAGATATAAGTAGAACAGATAAGTAAAAAAGTGAACAAAAATTGTAGAGGTCATTTTTCAAACAATCACGTAAAATTTCGAGATATTAATTAAAAAAGATTAAGGAAAAACGCACGCTGAATGGTAGAGGACGGATCGCTCAAATCGCGGCCCAGTAATATAGCGCACGATGATTGGAAGACAATGTATCACTGCCTATACTTATATCGCTGCGCTCCTACGTCTTGCCGCACCGTGCCGAGACCAGTAGCGTAGCGCAGCGCAGGTGCGCCATCTATGCTCGGGCGCCACTGTGCAAAGCATAGACATAGTACTGGACGAATCATTGTGCCAGAGAGAAATCTGAGAGCGGTCACGCCATATGTTTTGGCCGACACCGATTTTCACGCTGTTCGATGCGCCATCTGCACCCATTTTTGAGGTGAAACTACGTTCCCTACGCCCATTTTCAGACGCTGCCGGTAAAGTGTCAATTTGTTGCGTGTCCATTCTATGTCCATTTTCTGGCGATTTGTGTCCGTGTTAAGCGCATAATTGCATGGTTAAGAACATGGACAGTCTATGTTTTCAATCACGCAATTATGCGCTTAACACGGACACGAATCACCAGAAAATGGGCATAGAATAGACACGCAACAAATCGACACTTTACCGACAGCGTTTGAAAATGGGCGTAGGGAACGTAGTGCTACTTGAAAAATGGGTGCAGATGGCGCATCGAACAGCGTGAAAATCGGTGTCGGCCAATACGTATGACGTGCCACTCTCAGGTTTCTCTCTGCTGTTATGGAAAGTGTGTGTAGCCAGTTTAACGCTTTAACGCTCGAGTTCCGGTTTAATCGTCGGCACGTTAAGACGTGTCTGAACAACTCCAGACCGGTAATTTTTGGAAGTTGCCTTGGAACCTGCCAAGGACTTATTAATTCATACTTATCTTTAGAATAGTGTTGAGGAAAAATCGTAGGATTACTTGGAACCAATATTGAGAAGCACAAGAAGGACAAATTGTTTCAGTGCAATATTTGCAATAAACATTTCCAGTATAATCAGAGTTTAAAGCACCATGAGATGCTGCACGAGGACAAAACGTTTGTATGTTAATACTGCAAGGAAGCGTTCCACACCAGTACCAAGTTAGCTCATCATTTTTTCACTCACAACAGCCCTACATGTGCAAGCTCTGTCAAAAAACGTACAACTGCTCATTGTATTATTTGATGCTACACATGCGCATGCACTCAGTGAAAAAGCGCCGTGTATGTGAGGACTCCGACAAAGTGTTTAAACGTAAGTTTAGATTTGAGTTACATAAGTTGATTTACTCTAAGCATACTAGAATAGGTCTTATGTGTAACATTTGCCAAAAGCCTTATCGCAAACGTGTCGTCTACGATACTCACATCATGTAGCACATTGAAACAGGGGAAAAGATGGGTACTGATGAGTATTGATGGTTTGCAGCCGGATAACAAGCCCAGATCGGAGATGGAGTCGGAAGAATAGGAAGATTAATATTCGGACGACGACTATGAGTTGTCCGTTTGTATAATCAAGAAATTGCCAAAGCCGGCCCCACGAGAAGACGACAGTGATGAAGAGTAGGACGAGGAAGAGGGGCAGCAACGTAAGGAGCAAGTGGTATTCGTGTGCGGCAAGGACGGCAACATGATGAAGATAACGATCAAGACGCTGATGCCAATCCAACGCTGCGAAATGCAGGAATAAAAATACGCCGCCAAGCAGAGTGACCGCTCGTCCACCTTCCAGAGCAGCACAAGGAACTCGTCGACACAGGACAAAGAAGAGAATTCCGAGATCGTACTCTTGCACGAAACGCAAGAGTGGAAGATCGTCGCGTCGGTGTTTAAGAAGCACAAAATTCCGCTGAAGCACCAAAACGCCGCGGCGCAAGAATAGTCCAATATCAGATCCGGAGTCACCGGCCACTGTGACGAGCTCGCAGGCCACCACTGCATCACACGAGGCTCGCAAAGTCGACGACAAGACTGAGATGAGCACAACAGAAATAGTGACGGGAACAGGCATGATGATGTCTACATCTAAAAATGTGTTTGCACCAAAAATTTTCATAATTGGCATATGATTTTATTACATACATTATATACATAATGTATATAAATAATAATATAAATAATTTTTATAATTACGTTACATGATTTTATTACTTATTACGTAATTTTATCGTTTCAATCTCGCCCTCTCACCTAATATATCTGTTTTGTGTGTTCTCTCACTTTTATTCTCATTTAATACGAAATCTTTCTGTCCCACCAGCCACTTAAATTTCGCCTGATCCATCATTTCCTGAGCTCTTCGTACGTCAAAATAAGAATAGCCTACGGCACTCCGGGCAGTCACTATTTTGGTTTCAGAGGATACATTAGGACACATGTTATTTCTCCTCTCTCCTTCTCCCTACTAAGAACACGTTTAGACAAGGAAAGCCTTACTGGACGGATATATTTAGCCTTCCATCTTGACTCCTCTCCCCAGATCGTACAGTTTAGTATATAAGTCTATGGTAAGGCACATAGACTCCATGGACTCCAAATGCTCTATGTTCTGCCATCTAATAGAGTGAAGCCAACATCTAGAAAGAGAGCTAGAATAGAGGGGCTATAGTTTTCTTTCTATTTTGTTTTCACTTTAGTTTTCACTTTTTTGTTACGCGTGCATCCATTTCTCGTTTCCATAATATTATAGAGCGCAACAGCACCCCGACTAGACTGGCAAGTAAAAGTCTTAAATCTTATTGCACATTTTGTCTGTGTAGAAAGAAACAGAGAACAGAGGGGCTGTACATATTAGCTTCTCTTTTCTGACTGTATTCGAAGTCTATGTATATCATGTCTATGGTCTCTTTCTACATGTTGGCTTCACTTTTCTGGCCGTATGCGGAGTCCATATTACGTGCATGGGAAGGTAGAATAAATGCGCGCCATCTCTTTTTTTTCATGAGCGCGTTTTCACGTGTCGTTCGACGGTAACGGCGTTGCTTGCTTTACCGGTAGCGCAAGGCAGGTGCGCCATCTACACTCGGGCGCCACTGTGCAAAGACTCACTGTGCTGCTTCTAGAAGACGCGACGGGCTGTGTAGCTGCGCGCGGTCAGCCTGTTCCGGCATCCGCCATTATAGCGCTGTGTCGGCGTGCATACGGTGAGCGGCGTGAGGAAGAGGGTGCGTATCGCGACGCTTACCGACGCTCGGCGTCGTCGAGCGGGTGAGCGAACAAAATATCGAAGCAAATCGGTCAGCGAACGGTGCGTGACTGGCGGAGTTGATCGCGTCGGAGTTTTCCCGGGGTTCAGCTCGATCGCACGCGTCCGTGGACGAGAGTAAAAGAGGAGATAGAAGAAAGGCGCGGAGAGGAGAGGAGAAGAGAGGAGTGGAGTGGAAAGGAAGAGAGCGAAGCCACAGCGCGACACACGCGTACAGAACGCCGGCGGATATGGAGAGTAGGCCGGCGCCGCTGCGCTCGCGGCGGGTATGCCGATTCTGCCTGACGGAATCAGAACCGCTGAATTACATCTACGAGCGGGATCACAACAAGCCCTTCCAGGTGCCACTTACACTACAAATCATGTCGTGCGTCGCCATCGAGGTAAGTGAGCAGAGGCTCCCGCCACTTGGCAACATGATACCTTCGCCCCGCGTAAACTCGCGGGCATTGACTATCGAAGCGTTGCCTCGCGCCGTTCTATTTCTTTCGTGCACGCACATCGGATTTTGATTAGAAGTAACCGTCTAATGGAGTAGTAGGGCTATACGCCGGGAGTTTTCACGACGAAGAGCGATAGGATTTTGATGGATTGTTCGTCGCGTCGGTAATGTGGACGATGTGATTACCAGCTGACCGATCGGCGTGGCGTCACAGGCGTCCATGTGGAGAGGACGCGACGTTAGAAATTAATTCCGCTTGATTTTTGCCGTTGAATACGCGCGACTTAAATAAAAGTCAAATATTGACTTTTGATCTATTGGATATTGCAATAAGAAATGAATGAGTGAAATTTATGCGTTATTAACTTACGATGGTCAGTTATTTGAGCTACTTACTTTTCGTTTGGAGCTATAAAATTATTCGATAAAAACATATTACTTCTCAGGTAACATGCGTGTCTAAAAGATGTCGAAAAGATATCTAAAAAGATATCTAAAAAACATCTTATGCAACAAAATGTTGCATAAGACATCTTTTAGATATCTTTTCGACATCTTTTAGACATGCATGTTATCCGGGTTTATACCTATCCTACCCTATTTTGTCATTTTTTTAAAGAAATTAAATAGAAGAATAATATTTGCACTAAAATTTTGTGTATTTTGCATGCACAATTTTAAAAATAATGTATACATGCTATTACACATGTTCTTCATCGCAATTTTTATTTATTATATACTTTATAGTGAAATCAGGACAATTTTTCTTTACAATATTGTATATATTCACAAAATAAAATTTGTCAAATGGAATCTACTCTCCACCCAATAAAGTTAGAAGTAGCAAAAAATTGATAACTACAAACTCAATGTAAGAAGGAGAGAGAAGAGATCTTCCATGTATCATAGATCCTAAAATCCCAACGATATGATTCCCAATCCGACGAAAATCCCAATGTTATAATTCCTGATTACCACAGAAGATCCTCCCTGGACTGTGAAGACAAGTAAGAGGATCACTAACGTTTCATCGCAACTTGTTTGTTGTTCTCAAGGTGTACGCAGCTGACGGAATGCCACAAATGATTTGCTCCATGTGCCGCTGGAATCTGGACCGTTCCTACAAGTTCAAGCTGCAATGCAAGAAGGCTGACGAGGCATTGAGGGATTACCCGTTGTCTGGGGTGCTACCCAGACCTTTTCCGCCTATTCCCAACGACCCACCAGAAGTAAACATGAAAAGACCTGCTGAGGCGAGACAGCAACACGAGAACACCAAAAAGCCACGCACTGACAATACTGAAAGGGAGAGACGCGTAACCAGAGAGAGGGAGCGCGAGCGGGAGAGAGACAGAGACCGAGCAAACGAGAAGCAACGTGATAAGTCTTCAAACGAGCAACGCCATGATTTCTACGAGGAGGAGCAAGAAGACGGCGGTAGCGAAGGTGAGGAGACTAAGAACGTCGAACGTGTGAAAGAGGACAGCATGAAGCTGGAGCCAGGCGAGATCAGAGTGCACGCGTGCGACCAATGCGAACGAACGTTTCCGTTACGCCAAGCTCTGTCATTGCATATTCAGTCTGCACATCGCGAACGGAACTATAAGTGCACAGAATGCGAGCGTATGTTCTTTTCCAAGTATGACCTTAGCAAGCATTTGAGCACTCATTCGGAAGAGAAGCCATTCGCGTGCCAGATCTGTCAGAAGCAATTCTCTCGACAGAACTTGCTGCAACGCCACGAAAAGGTGCATCGAGACGAGACGCGTTACGGATGCCCGCATTGCGAGCGCGAATTTTTCACCACGGAGGACCTGGAGAAGCACGAAGACGCGGCGCACAAAAAGGAGAAACCGTTTCAGTGTAATATTTGCAATAAACGTTTCCAGTACAAGCAAGGCTTAGAACGCCATGAGACGCTGCACAACGAGGACAAAACGTTTGTTTGCGAATATTGCAAGGAGGCGTTCCACACCAGCACCAAATTAGCGCGTCATCTCTCCTCTCACGCTGGCCATCGACCCTACATGTGCAAGCTTTGTCCAAGAACGTTCCTCTTGTCGCATCATCTGACGCGACATATGCGAACGCACTCAGTAGAAAAGCGCCATGTATGCGAGGACTGCGGCAAAGCGTTTAAACGTAAAGAAAGTCTTGAGGTACACCAGCTGACTCACACTAAGCGTACTGGAATGGGTCTTACGTGTGATGTTTGTCAAGAGTCTTGTCGCAATCGTGCCGACTACGTCACCCACATCAAGCAGCACATTGAAGCAGGCGAAAAGATGGGCCCGGACGGTTTGCAACCGGACAATAAGGCCAGGCCGGAGGCGGACTCGGAAGAAGAGGAAGAAGAAGAGGATCAGTACTCAGACGGTGACGACGATTATGAGCCGCCCGCTTATATTATCAAGAAAATGCCGAAGCCATCACCGCGGAAAGAGGACAGCGACGAAGAGGAGGACGAGGAAGAGGGGCAGCAACGTAAGGAGCAGGTAGTATTCGTGCGTGGAAAGGACGGGAACATGGTAAAGAAGACGATTAAGACGCTGATGCCAATTCAACGCCGCGAAATGCATGAACAAAAGTCCACGGCCAAGCAAAGTGGCTCGTCCACCTCCCAAAGCGGCACGAAAAACTCATCGGCACAAAGTAAAGAAGAAAATCCCAAGGGCACACGCTTGGACGATACCGAGGCGCAAGTACAAAAGATCGTCGCGTCAGTGTTTAAGGAGCACAAGATTCCGCTGAAGCACCAAAACGCCGCAGCGCAGGAACAGTCCAACAAGGAGTCATCGGCCACTGTGACGAGTTCGCAGGCCACCACTGCATCGCACGAGGCTCGCAAGGCAGACGACAAGACCGAGATGGGCACAGAAATAGTAGCGATGGGAACGGGCGTGATGACGCCTACATCCAAAAACGTCAAAGTCATTAAGAGGTTCGTCTTGAGGAAACCGGGTGGAAATATCGAAGGGACGCCCTCGAACATAAATACGAACATAAGTACACAAGAGATCTCTTCTACCTCGGTTGTGAGCAACCCCAGCAGCAGCAGCAGCACTCCAATCCCCGGGACCAAGGTTAACAAGCGTTTGATAGTGCGCCGAATCATCCGCCACGGTGATACCACCCGCGAGGTAGTTATGAATCCAGACGGCACCGTCGTCGACCCAGCCGAATTGGCAAAATTGCCATCCGGAAATGTGGTGAAGCGAGTGGTGGTAAAGGCCAAAGGTCAGAACCTGGTACAGGCATTGCTGCATCGAGTGGAGCATCAGAAAGCCGGCGAGACCATCTTGGACGACACGATGACCAACAAGTTTGAGTTGAAGACCAGTCCGTCGTCGTCTAACGGCAATAGCTCTGTAGTGACAATAGCAGCCTCCGCCACGTCCACGCCCAAAAACACGATCACGTCTCCAAAGGCGACGAACCAACAACAATCAATTGTGCAAGAGGATCAGGAGACGAAGGAGAAGCTAGAACGACTGGAGAAGCGAGTAGAGCAGCAAAGACTGAAGATCGAAGAGCTGCAGGCGAGAAAACAGGAATACGAGGCAATTGATGATATGCTGCCAGAACGGCACGACGAATCCGAGGACGAGCAACAATTACCGCTGAAGAGGGTGTTCGTCAAACGGAAGCAAAGCATTTATGACGAGGAACAAGAGTACAACGATAATGACACAGAGATGACGACGGCCGCGAAACCGGTTGCCAAAAACGTGACCGAGCAATCTGTTGTTAATGAAGAAGACAAATCCATTGTGGAAGAAACGCCGGAGAATATCCAGAAAGAAATCCAAAACCAACAGAAAGAGATGAAGGCCGCCGCTTCTAGCAACGCAACTACTTCGACTTTGAAGAAAGGCCCAATCATCTCCAGCGACAAAGTTTACACAAACAGACGCTTCCTAATCATGAAGCCCGAACAGTCGAACGAGGTAGAGGAAATGAGTCGCGAGCTATGCAACATCCTGGAGACAACCGACAGTGTAGCGAAGATGCAGGAAACTGTATTAAGCAATCTCACGCAAATCTCCAGCACGGAGACGACGTTGTCGTTAAAAGCAAAGAGTGGCAATGACTCTTCTGCGGTGGAGACGGTCGAACAGCAGGTGGAAGCAATGGAAATTGATTGCGAGTCTGAACAGACTATCAAGCAGGAAACGATGATGGAGGTGGAGATCGCGAGCCAACAGACTGAGATCAAATTGACTTCCTCCGCGGGAGAAGCGGAAGACGTGAGACAAGAGGAAGAAGAGCTCAGTCAGGATGAAGACGACACGACTCCGCATTTGGTCCTTGACACCCCAGATCTTCCCGAGAGTGCTGACATCTTCGAGCCGTCAGACGACGTACTGGATGTGCAAAAGTCGACTACTCTCAACGAGTCCGTTATCGAACTATCGCAATCTAATGAAACTATCAATCTCAATGATACAAACGACAGTCAAGATAGTCTCGAGGACAAACTTTCGCAGATGGAGGGTTAAGAAAAGAAGGAAACACTTACCCCTTGGAGGAATGCTGCCCCAAAGAGAAATCATGTTCCCATTACCTTCACCCTGAAGACACTAATCAGAATACGAACCCTGAAGACACCAATCAGGATACCAAACAGAGGAGATCGTGACGCGCGAATTATTCGAATCTCTTTGTCTTTCGTGAGCGTGAAGCGATGGAATCGATTGGCTACTTGTATAAAAGAGGGAGAAGGTTTTTTGAACGAACAGACAAATTCAATCGGGAGGTATTGACATGTAAAAGGAGGAAAGAATCACACATTATGAGTTCTCTTTGCACAATTGTTAAAGGTTCTCGTGTGAGTTTTACGTATATCATTGGTACTCGGAATGTCGTAAATATATCGTAAATGATAATACGCAATCTTGATACAGTGAAATCTTACAACCGTATAATCAATGTATGAAAGTCTGCTCGAATTAAGTGTGGCTCTGTCTATTTCAAGCAGGTCTTTGTATTATTATTACGGTGAAGCCAATGCTTGGGTAATATTGACGCATTTGTCCCCAATGGAAGAGAAGTTTATTTTTAGCATTTTACAAAAAATAGAAACAATCCGGAATTGTTTCGGGAATAATTCATTTTGACTCTCGGGTGATTCGAGTTTGCTTGCCCCTCATATTATTATTATCCAATCTCTAGATATTGTATATCATCATTAAACCATGTATTATTACCAAATAATTATTAGAGCCATACACACACATTCACACACACACACACACACACACACACACACCATGCGTACAGACATGCATCATACATATACACACAATAAAATCTATCGAGTTATTAAACTGAGAAAAAATACTTGACAATTTATTTGTGTTCACATAAATAAACATAAAGTTTATTTATGTGAAATAAAGTTTATTTTTGTAAGATAAACTTGATTTCTTTGTGAATAAGCTTTATATTCTACAAATAAATTTTTAAATATTCTGTTCTCAATGTATTATTCATGTTAATCGCATTATCATAGTTACTTTTATTATGAGTATCTGTTTATATTGCGATATGTTATCTGGTATTATCAGAATATGATTTTATCACAAGTTAGTCGAGAATCGCTCCACTTTTTATAATTGACGCTAAATACGCCTTGTCTCGACGTTTGATCTAAATTTGAGCAGCTTTTCCAATGTAGCAAAAAGTATAACAGCTGCCTTTTTTATTTTGATGGATTGAATTAGTGAATTAAGGGTTATTTTATAATGATTTTATAAAGAAGCTTGTTGGTTGCATTAACTCTCAAATATCACACACACACACACACACACACACACACACACACACACACACACACACACACACACACACACACACACATGGTACAAATGCTTTCCTCGCTAGCGTTAGGATTTCGTTTCGACAGAGCTCGACCGACATTCAGAATATTATCGCTAATTCCCGATCGCGCAAGGGTTTCAGCTGGGATAAACTGGTAATAATGCAGATTCACACTGGTATCGTACTAATAGTAATCGCGTGGGAGGATCTTGCTGCATTTTTCTCATGAGTTCATAGACATTTGGTCCCTTATAGTTAGGTCATCTCGATCGTTTTGGAGCTCGACGATCGCGATGGATGAACGTAATATATCGCGTTATCTCGTTTGAATTTCGTCAAATATTCTCTCGCACATTCTTCTTTTTGATTCTTTTCTCACTGAAAAAAATTAAACACGCTGACAGTCAGTTCGCTGACGTTGGATTAAGTAATTTATTTCGAAAATGGATTGAGTTGGACGGAAGTGTAAATACTATGATGCACATAGCACGTCCGTGAAAGATTCGCCCTCGCTTTCCAAATTATGATGCGGCTATAATTTTACTAAATTATCATATTACTCTGAGATAATAATGACGTAACAGGGAAGTCCACTTATATAACCGGATTCACGTTTCTCGAATTGTAGATGAACTTGTTTGGGTAGAGATCTCTCTGAATATGTTTGTCCAACAAACATGAGGATTTCCATCCTTTTTGTTCTGTTGCGTAACCATGATGTAATAGATGTTAGTAGTTACGAATATTCTCTCTCCCTACGTTTTTATTCTTATTATTTCTCTCGGTTGTCGGTGCAATGGACCTTAACAAATCAGGCACTTTAAACATTGGGAACACAAGAGATAATGAGATATATTAAATTTATAGGCGTACGTTTACGGTAATTAATCTTCAAGATTATTTCTTTAATTTACTTACGGATACGGTAAGATAGGCTAACATTGCAAATAGCCAGCAAATATTTGAAATTACATCTCTATGAAATATACAAAAAATACGGTGTGTAATTATAAGAGAGCTCTTTGGCGGTATTTATTGTCCCTTCTTCCGGCCAGTCCCTTCCTGTGTAATAAGCGAATAGATAATTTAAAAAGATCCATTTACATTTAAAATATTTTCTTAGTCAAAAGTTTACAAACTACTACATTAAACAGAGTCATGATAAGTTATATTACAAAAATTATAGTGTCCTTTTTAAGGTAAAATTTTTTTTAAGTAATAGTTTCCTTTTTAAGTAAATTGCTTGTAAGTTATCTATAATCTAATAATTATATACATAGGCAAATACTGAATTAGAAGATAAAATTTCGTTTAATTAATTGAGTATAATTACTTTATGAAAAAGGAGCGGATGACAATAATTGAGAGAGTTCGTATAAAAACTTAGACTTTATTCCATACAACACATTGTACGTAACTTGCACTTATGACATATAATAATTAATGTTATATTCATTATTACATAAATATATGGTCTTATGCAGTAGTATGCTACTTCTATTTGTGGAGAAAATGCGCATTGCTGCGAGCGTATAAAATATGCGGGTGAGTTGCATGAAAATTAATCGCATATCTTTGTCGCGCTCTCTTTTCGCGAGTTATTAATGGCTTTCCATGGAATATTATCTCTCGCGCATGCAAATGTGTTTAAAGGTGTAGAGAAAACGAATGGACACACGCGAATACAAAAGATCACGACAGATCGCACGTAGTAGCCATAATAATAACGTAAGGGTAGTATGAGTTAAGCGCATCTTTGCGCCACAATGAATGTTTAATTATTAAGTATTATCGCGTGTCAACACGTGAAATTGCATGTACGATATACGTAGCGTGCGAATTTCCGCACGATTTTCCGATTATCGTTAATAGATCGCGGTGGGACTTCAGGCCCGAGTGTCTTTGATCGAGCGATTACGTACAGCATTGCTGTAGCAGGCGTTGCATCGCGTTCTGTGCAGCTGCAATATCGACTGCACGTGTTGCTCCACGTAGCGCGAGATGTCGGCACTGTTGAGTGTTACGTTCCGAGAGAAAGGGTGCGATCCATTATCCCTTGTCCACAACCTTGCTTTAATTCTTAAGCCGTAAGAAACCACAATTCATTATTTTTAAAATAATCGACTGGTTGGTCAATTTATTACGGCTTAAAGATTAAAGTAAGGTTGTGGACAAGGGATATATGCTCCTAGCCTTAAGTCATAAAACTTAAGCTTTTAACCTGAAGCCGTAAGAAATTGACCAATCACAGTCGATTATTTTCCTTATATTTGATTGTGATTGGTCAATTTCTTACGGCTTCAGGTTTAAAACTTAAGTTTTATGGCTTAAGTTCTCATTGTAGACCCCGCTTAAGTCCTTGTTCACAACCTTGTTTTAAGACGTAAATCGTAAGAAATTGACCAACTACAGTCGATTATTCTTCTAAAAATTAATCATGGTTACATCTTAAAGCCGTAATAAATAAAACCAACCAGTCGATTATTTTATATAAAAATAATGAATTGTGGTTGATCAATTTCTTACGGCTTAAGAATTAAAGCAAGGTTGTGGACAAGGGGATAGAAAAACTTAAGCAGTAAGTAATTAAATTGTCCAATCGTAGTTTGTTATTTTTCGACCATAAAGAAAATAGTCGATTGTAATTGGTCAATTTCCTTACTGCTTACGTCTTACTGCTTAAGTTTTTCTATGTGCCACTAATTTAAGTTCTTCATTGTAGACTTAAACGTTGCACATACTTTGAAGTGCCGTGTAGACCAATAATTATGGCTTTTTTTCAAGATATTTCAAAGTGTTTACGATGTCTAATGAATCGCACCCAAAAATCCACGTGATGAAGACCTTTATACAAATTGCCGTAGCTACTTGACGCTTGAACAATTCATTAAATAGCGACAAAAATAAAAAAACCGATATCGTCACGATTGACGGATCTTACCAAGAAGAGCATTTTATTTCTATGCAGTCCCGTCAATCTGACTTTCACCACGGGGGCGTTTAGTACATTTTTCCTCGTATACGAGAGCAGTCGAATAATTAATTATTATCGCGTTATCACGATAAGATCTTTATCATGATAAGATCTTTCGGGCGAGCTGGATGGTAGATCTGTTAAAATCTGTTAGGGCGTCAAGCGGGATTGACGTTTTTCCTGCCGGCAAGATTCTGGAGCTGTAAAGTAATGACGATTCGTTGGCTTATATTTTCTTTCTCGCGTTTATAGGAGTGATATATATTTTGTAGCGAATCGCTCTAGATCGCACTCTTGTATGTCTCGGCACCTTCGTATCTTAAAGCCCGTCACGTCCGCTGTCAATGTACTCGAACCTCTGTGGGACAGAGACGATCGTCGACTTAGAATTGAAATCTTTTTTTAACCCAGAAGAGGGAAAGAGAGAGAGGCAGAGAGAAATTTGCTGCTTTTTGGAAGATAGGAATGCGCTTGTATCACATCTCACCGTCATGCATCACGAGCATGCATGCGTTCGTTTGTTAATCGATTAGGAATTCTCCCATAGGAGCCAGATAAGTACACGTGCTTCCTCTTCAGAGACCGAGTCCCTCCGCCAACTAGATACGCAAATTTGCTTAGCAGCTATTATTTTCTTACTCAGTTCCTCGCGTAGAGAAAGAGAGAGTTAATGTTGTGAGTCTCAGTAGAGCGGTTCGCAAGCGGATTAAATACTTGTTAATTATAGGAAGATGCCAGACTTACATTATAAACGCATCAAGAGACTAAGTATTCCCGAGCCATTCCTTCAGACACGAGTGACTTGAAGTCGAGTGCTTTTTGTTCAAAGAAAACTTTCAGAAGAAGATATTTAGAAGTTCGAACATTTTTAGAAACTTAGACGATGTTACACTAACGTTATTTTGGTCTTAAGCGAGATTTGAATACATACATGTCTGTTTTTATTTAGAAAGAAAAATAAAGATAGACACACGTTTAAATTAACACACGTTAAAGCCAAAATAATGTTGGTGCAATCGGGCCTTATTGAAAAGTAGAAGGAACTCATTGAAAAATAATGGTCTTCCGGAAACTGAGAACAGATTTGTGCCAAAAACGGGGTTTACTAGGAATGAACGATTATTGCACAGAAATCGACCTCAAGTCCTCGGCGGAAAAGTTACATTAGACTCGTGTCTGAAATTGTGACTTCACATTCTCGTGTTGTGATATACCTCCTTCTCTTCGGTGGCGACGGATGCGTAGGTTCTCGTGGGCACTTCCGGCTCTTTGGCGGGTCCGATCGCGTGCACGTAGATGAGCGCGCCGGTGATGCCGCCCAAGATCGGACCTATCCAGTACAGCCAATGATCTTTGTAATCGTTCATCACCACGGCACTGCCCAGAGAACGCGCCGGGTTCATTCCGGCGCCCGTTCGCGGTACCTGATTTTTACAGATCGCCGTAATTGCGAAGGCAAGGCAAGTAAGAGAAAAAAAATCTACGAGAAGGTTTCTAAACACGCTAATAGCGATTGCACAACACTCACGCCGACGATGTGACCCACGGTAACGGCGAGACCGATTATGAGAGGCGCGATACCCTTGCTGTCCGGCTTAGCGGCGTCACAGGCGCCGCAAACGACCAGGACCAGAATCAGAGCGAGGAAGAACTCCACTCCGAATCCTTGGACAGGGCTGATCCCGGGGGAGAGACTCACCACCCCCAAAACCATCTCCATCTCGTCCGATGAGAGTGCCCTCAGGATCGCTGATCCCGTAATTGCACCCGCGCATTGCGCCAAGACGTACAGGATGCCTCTGATGATCGGTACCTGCGTGATCGTAAGTTTCGCTCATGGCAACAGTGTTTTCTCTCCTCTCGTGGACGCGGAGATCGATTTACGTAGCGAGATATCGGGTTTTCTCCGCGTATAAATTTCATTTGCGGAATAAGGAAATGAGGTTTATACATAAAGCAAGTTCGAAGCGGAAAATCATTCTTCTTGTAGAAGTATCCAATCCTTAAGGCTCCTGACCCCTCGTCTATCTCTTTTTTAATGACGTCAGAAGTGAGAAAAATGCATGCTAAAAATTCTTGCGATATAAGTTGAAATAAAAATATATATCCATAAAGTAACACTTGTAATCGATTAATTTGTAAGATATTCCGTGCATTCCCCTTTTGCTTTAACAATCAATAATTTGTTAAAGCGATGCAAATTAACGTGACATATAATTCATCTTTTTCATCTATTTCTTCGCTTATTTCTATTTAGGTTCATTTACGACAAATTACTGATTATTACAGCAAAAGAGGAATGCACGGAATATTTCACAGATTTATTTAATCGATTGCAAGTGTCACTTTATAGATATATCTTTTTATTTCAACGTATTTTGCCAGAATTTTTAGTATGCATTTTCTCGCTTTTGACGTCATTAAAAAGAGAGAGACAATGTGAGCGGCCTTAAAATAATACTAATATTTTCAATGCTTTTTCAAGGGGCGTGATCGGTACCTTCCCGACGATGAGAAGACCAAACGTGACCGCTGGATTGATATGGCCTCCTGAAACGTGACCTATTCCTTGAATCGCGCCCATCACCGCCAAACCGAAGGCCAGGCTGATGGCGATGACATTTCCGGTCACTACGGCGCCGCAGCCAAAGAAATTCAGCAACAAGGTGCCGAGGAATTCCGCCAGGAGGGCACGTGGAAGACCGGCTTTCTTATCGGTGAGTTCGTTAGCGCCTAAGGCGCTTTTTAGATTTACCATCTAGATAAAGAAGAAAATTCAGATAAAGATAAGCGAAAGCTGACAAAAAGGTATAGAATATAAGTAGTGATTTTTATTACAATCGACTAACGAAGTAACGGTAAACTGATATCCTGCTTTATGGATACTAAGTAGAATGATTAAAAGAAAAAACTTTAATAGGAAAAAAGTTTATATAATTATGTAAGAGAACGAAGATATATATGAAACTCATATCACTTGCTAAAGAGCTTATCAGCGCCAGGATTACATATAAATTCTTATTGTTTTGGTCATTAAAAATGCCAATATTTTAACTTTTAATATAAAAAAAAAGATATATATATATATATATATATATATATATATATATATATATATATATAT